AACTCGATATTATGACATGTATGTAATTCAGTTCCCATCATTTTCGGTCGAATATGCAATGTAGTCCGTTGATCAATATACTGTTAACACACACAGACACTTAAGTATGAAATTATATAATAAATTATGCACGTGTAACGTGTGTCATCGATATAAACGCTTACCTTGCATTGCACGGCTCCCAATAAATATACGGTGACAAGAAGTGTAGTTTCTTAGCGTGCGATGCATTATTACATAATAATTAAAAAGTTAATATTAATATAATACAATAAAGGTACGTATGCCTATTATTTTAACATAATATCATACACAATATGTAGATAACGCGTTAATGACTCGTCCGATTTATATTATGTGTTTTGTGTGTGCCAACTGCAGCTATATCGTAAGCAATATTCGTATATTCGTGGGAGATGGAATTTTATGCCAATTTTAATATACTTGTAATGTTCGCTATAACAATAAGTATGGTACATTTAAATGCATTTGTAATGTACGCCACTCTAAAATTGTAGTAATCTGCACCACAGCATAAATCGAAATGACATACCTGTATGTAAATTATAAAAACTATATATAAAAATTTAAAATATTGTAATTTACCTGTTACATTCACTAACTCACATCAATATAATAGCGTAAAAATGTAAACAAATAAAAAGAAACAATAATTTTACAATGAGTTATATAATATTTCTGATTTTTACATATTCTATGATAAACTAAAATAAATATAAAATATAGGTATAGGTACTCTTTTAAATTTTACATTTGAACATGTTGTATATTTGCATATTTGGTTTTAAATATATATTTTTTAAATCAATTTTTGAGGTTTTATTGTTCTGTGTTAATTAAATTGTATTGTTTATTTAAGAATTACACGACTGTGAATATAAACTAAAATTAAAATATATAGTTATACCTAAATGTTAAATAAAACATATTTATCAATAATAAATAGTTGTGAATTGTGGTCTACCTATACAGAGCAACAGAGCACTGTATAAATTGTAATTACTATAATAACTACTCATAGTTAGTGTAAAAATTTTGGAAATAACTAAAACAATACATTTCTTGAACTTCATTTCTCTTTCCCTATAATTCAAGTTGAGGAGTAGGTATACGTGTGTTAGACAAAGACAGAAAATCACCGCTTCCGGGATAGTTGAATTGCACTTATTACTAAAAAAAAAAAGTCGAATTGCACTTGGATTGAAAAAAGGCGATGGTCGAACTGTACTCGTTCAAAAAAAAAGTTATTTTAATTATAATTAATATAATAGTATTTATTAATCAAAAATAAATAATATTGAAAAATATTATTGACTTATTTACTCAAAAGCGAACTATCACCAGGCTAGAATTTTTCAATACAGTTTGTCATTACTACAACAAATGATCGAAATAAAAGAAAAATTTATAATAATGACAATAATTAAATTTGACCATTTAAAAAAGAAATAAAAAAAAAAAAAAATAGTAATAGTAATAATAATAATAATATTATTATAATATGTATATATAATATAATAATGGCGTGATATCGAAATTCTGGTTTTTTAATAAGACTCACAGGGATAAAAACTACAATTATTTCATATTTTAATTGATTTTAATGTTTTGGTAAAAAATTTAAAAAATATATTTTTTTATTTAATTATTTCCAAAAAAATTAAAGATAACCATTTTGTAGCGTTTATTTTTCTGAAAATATTGACGTTTCAAAATTTTATTTTCAYTTATTTCCTGATATTTAATATTTTTTTTAGTTTATCCCCTTCAAATGCATAATAAATTTATTGAAATTCGTTTTTTGAGCCCAAGTGCAGTTCGACCACTACCTGATTTTTACTCGAGTGCAGTTCGACCACTACCTGATTTTTACTCGAGATCAGTTCGACCATATCCACCGCTTCTATTATCCTTAAACATAAGGAGATTTTGAATACATTTTTCTAGTAATATATAAGATATAACCCATGGCCCATGCACAGATAATTATTCCAAACTACACACATATATATATTTAACACATCTACTGCATAATATTTTTACAGATAGCAATAAAGAAAACCAATATTGTTAAGTCCCGAGCATATTGAAACATTATATTATGTTGAATATATATTAGGTGGGTATAGTATATTACTGCAATTATATTGTGTCATAATATGGGTTTCCAGCTTTTGTTCAGATTTCAGATTATATATTTGCCAATGTTAAATAATTATAAGGTAGATACAAAAGCACAAATGTTTAATAGTATTATTTTAATTAAATTATGAGATAATATCATAAACAAGAGCAAACGGAAATATTTGGTTGTAAATAATACTTATATATATATTTATTATTTTTAGATTAAAAATTCCCAGGAGTGAGCCGAAAGGCTGTTAGACGGTTGCAGGTTTGCTACTTTAGCGAATAGCGGATGTCATTAATATTCAATATGATGCTAGTTTTTTGCCCGGATAAAATAATGGGGTCGTCCCGGAAAATACATTCATTTTTTTGTATGAGGACACCCATACGTCATATTATTCGTGATTCCGGCGTTTGCTGTACTTTAAGAAGGGGTTGGCAACAGGTATAGGGGCGTAGGCCGTATATAGCCTTGGGGTGGCAATATTCTTAAATACACGCCACTGCAGTATATTATATTATTACGATACGATTCGACTCCATTCCTTCAGCGAATAATTTTTAAATGCATATTGAGTAAACAGATATTTTTTATTTAATTTTAATTTATAGGTATAATATTGTACTTAACAACTATAAGCTAATATACTCAAAATACAATTATAATAAATAAATAGTGATATATATATATCTATAATAAATTAATAAGACATAGACAAATTTAGCAAGTAGAACAATTTGAAAATAAGACACCTGTATATAGAATATATTTCAATGTAATTAAAATTAAATGTATAAAAGTTTGAAAAATAAATTATATCTATACGTGCTATTAATAAACCCTATTATAGTTATAGAATCTTATATGCGATGGGATGAACATTTTCAGACAGTCGATATAAACAGTGATCATTTTAGCGAATTCTAGTACCTATTATATGATTGAACAAATAAAGTTTTAATATATCTCTAATCAAGAGTATATTATAWAGCATAGACAGAGCGTACCAAGCATGCGCTCATCTTTCTAATAACTAGCTAATTTAATCAAATTTTAATTTTTGGAATATTTACAATTATATAATTTTACGAATAATCATATATTTTCGTGGATCATTTTTGAAAGAAATGTGATAGGTACCTTATGGGAAATATAGCGGAGATGATCTGAAAATTGTAATAATTAATATACTAATCATTCAACATTTTATAATTTATAAAAAATGTCATACAAGTATAATTAACTATCTTAAACTAAGTTTATTATGTCAATAATTATACTCAGTTTGTATATGATTATTAAAAACAATCTCCTAAATCACTTCATATGATAAAGAAAAATTATGTTTATTTAAGAAAAAATCAATCATATTTTGTTTGTATTTTATTATATTGGATACATTCACTTCTTATTATGTTGTGTATATATTTACTTTATTAAGATGATTATATGTTATTATCTATTTTGTTTTTATTTTACAATGAAAAGTATTTATTAATTGTATATAATAAAGAATTTCATACTTTATCACTATTATGAATTGAATATTTTATTTTTAAATACCTATTGTTTTTCTATTACCCATGAGTTAGTTTATTTATTTATCAACATTATAATTTAAAAAATTGTCACATCATTAATATAAATTATTTATTTATTTTATTGTTTACCACTTTTCCGTAGTATCCGGGCAAAGAAATAAAATTTTACTTTTTAAATTAAAAATATTCTTATTATTTGCAGTTAATATTATAATGAGTAATAAAACATTCGTATGAGTGTCTTTTAAGTAAAAAAAAAAATAACTTTTATAAGTTAATTAATGGTTACTTTTAAAAATAATATAGTTTGGAGGGTGCCATTTTTTGACACACAAAGTTAACCTTTCCGCTTTGCCCAGGTCTCCCCTATTACACTCAGCTATAATATTATATATTAACTACGCATATATAAGACACAAGTAAATAATAAATCAATAGTTTTAACAACATTAATGTATTGATTCTTAGTAATTGAAGTTTTTTATGAGTCCTATCCGTTTTATAGAAAGTCTGAAACTACTCGCTATATATATGTAGAACATAGGTACGATAAAAACACAACTTCAAAAAGTTGGCGTTCTCAAAGGTGGAACGTTGCCCCTAACTCATATCTAAATATAGGTACAATATGACAAACTGATGTGTCAACATTATGATATGCTTGCAATTCAAATAGATATTGGCACATGATAATGATGGATTTTAAGGGTGTATCAAACGATTTTGCCTATATAATTAATATAGCCTATAGGGTGGCAGGGTGCAGCTGACAATTTTAGCGTGATGGTGTCGTGATAACGCGAGTAGGTATACACTGCAGATTATATAACATTTGTATTTATAATAATTTATAAATAGGGATATAATGCGTATTAACTGTTATTGATTTATATTACACTATACGTTTCACTATTAAAAATGATATAGGTATAGCGTATTACATAATCATATTAATCCTTATACTATCAATAACCTAGTGCCAAGTAACCTACCTATCATACCAAAATAAAAATGATTTTCGATCCATTTTAAAAATRTTTGTTGGCTAGATAGTATAATAATAAATCATAATATCTAACCATTATTACATAATTGCAATCTCTTTCGAGTTTGACGGTCACGGCTGTAGCATTTTCGGCGACAAAGACTCCAATGTGATGTTGACGGTGACGGGACGCGCGCGCACTACGCGACCAATGAGCACGTCCGGGGCGCGACCAACCTGGTCCAGGGCCCTCCTACCGACCAGACGCGCCCGCTACTGCCACTGCTGTCTTCGTCAGTATTCGCACGGTAACGACCACGAAACGACTACGAAACGATCGTGTCTCTGTCGCAAAACACGAAAACGCATTTCAATTGTATCTAACGGTCTCGATCGACTAATGCACGCTGTATAGGTACATYCGTATACAGAACGCAATAAAACTGATTACAATATTCGCGTAAGTCTGCTGGCTGTATGGGTATACGATTTCGTCGCACTGCAGCTCAGACCAAACTCGAGAGASGGTCTCACGCACGGACACGACACTGCTGGTGCATCTGCATAAATAATAATTTTAATATCAACAGTATAATCACATTGGACCTGATCGCGACGATGACGTGCGCGTTTCAATAAACAGTTGTCCGCTGCGGTCACCCAACGACGACGACGACGCTCCGGCCATTGCATGTCGTACATGTCGCCGAGGGACGTTGTCGGCGTCCGCGCCGCCGGCAGCATCAGCCTGTCGCCGGGTAGTTGTATGGAAGCGCTCAGCGAGAGTTCGGCGTCGAGCGCGACGGCCGCGGCGGGTGGCTCTGTCACCGTGTCCGATTTCTTGCAGACCAAGCGCAGCCTGTCGTTCTCGTCCGAACAGGTGTCGTGCATGTGCGAGGCTCTCCAGCAGTCCGGCGACGTGGACAGGCTGGCCCGGTTCCTGTGGTACCTACCGCCGAGCGAACTGCTCCGTGGCCAAGAGACCGTCCTCCGGGCCAGAGCCCTAGTGGCGTTTCACAGGTAAAAACGCGTCATCGCAGTAACTATACTTAATTATTATATTTATTTATTTATTATAGGCGCGATGTTGGTAGCATATTATATTAGATAGTTTCATCACTTACTTAGGTATATCGTTTTTAAGAGAAAAAAAGAGTGTACTTGTCGATGCATATAATATGTATAGGTACATAAGTGATGTGTCTTTTTCTATTTTCTTCACACCTTCTATATTGATATACTTTAATATCGTATTTTTACCACCGATTGCCCTCGAATCTCTTATACTTCACGTCTTCACTAAAACACACTATATTGGTACCTCAGTACTAAATATCAAGAGATCGTTTATTTACAAACGAATCAATTATATGATTATATTTATATGWACACATTTATATAATCAAATTAATATGATTAGAATGTGTACCGAACGAATACTATTTAAAAAAATATTCCATAAATAAAAAAATCTAATATAAAATTTCTCATTTTGTATTTACGTGCCTAATTCTTTTTCAATATTAAAATATTTATTATTTATTATTTTTATAAGTTTAAGGATAAAAATAAACACAATATTACTTAGCGAACATAAAACTAAATCCTCTATGTCTCTATATCTATACAAATTTCACCAAGTAAATGACAACCACAATAATCTTGTATTTATAGATAACTCAAAGTTAAAGCCAGGCTAAAGCTTAATATATTGGAATTGCTACAATATTTAAATTCTTTTACTTCGGTTACGTCTCTACACACATGTCTTTTATCGATCGTATATAATTAGGATAATGAGTATAAAGTAACTGTTCCACATTAAATGCTAATATAATGGTATAACTGTATATGTATTTAATTATATCCATGGTGTACTGTAACGGTATCAAAATATCATAATCTAATATATCAAAAATGGTGTAGTGCCCAGTGTAGATACATAATATATTATAACTTATAACTTATAAGTTTATAACTAATATAGGTACATTTTTTTAAATATTATTTTTAAGCCAATTGCGTAGTTATCAGCCGTTGTTTTGTTATTTATATTAGAAATAGGTTGAATTTACATAACATATTATATAACTAAATAATATAGGTATTTTTCATAAAAATAATTAAGTCCACTAAACTATAAAGTAGCTATCCAATAAACTTTGTTTTCGGTTTATTAATTTGTACTTAAAAAATGTTACTGGTTATAAAAAAACATAGTTTAAAAAATACTTTTTAACATCGTATACAAGAGCTCTTTTGTTTTGACGTTTTCTTATTGTGTATTAATAATGTAACATATAACTATATAATTTTAAAATGCTGCAGATTATTCCAGTGATATTATAATTACAACAAGACTTCGCTAGATGTTTCCTAATAATTTCGTATTTATGACTAATATTATTATATTATATTTTAAGTATTTATGTAATGCCTCCAAACGAAATCGATTGTTTTACACGTTTTGCCTATCAGCGATATCAACGTATACACATAGTTTTCTACTAGTCTTCGTGTATTAAAATATAATAAATATATATACAATAGTATGTTTTATTGTTTTCGTTGTAACCCGTTTAAAAATCTACGGCACTGTTCAAACGATTTGTTTTTTTTTTTTAATTTTTATTTCATATATAAACACGGTACTTAATATGCACTCTTGCTGGGCATAAAACGATGAATTCCTTGATTTTTTTTTTGCTTCTTTTCTGCTTGCTCAAATATGACATAAAATCTAGTTCGTTTTCCTTCCGAACGGTCACATCTTTGAGAAAACAAGGTTTTTAAAATCCGTTTATTACGGGTAAGTAAAGTACACAATAATTATATACGATTCCGGTAATAAATATAAAAAATTACACACATAGTATATTAAAAATGTACGATAAATATAAACATGGAATTATTACATTGACTTATTTCTGAATTTACGGAATTCGAGTACGACATAGCAGCATTTTTCCGCGCAGCTTTAAAATATTTGCATTGTAGGCATTTGTATAGCAATTCAATCCTAATTTAAAAATACCTATATAGTAAGTATAGTAACAATGACATTTTATTTAGAAATAATTATTTTAGTTACCTACACATGTTAAACAATTATATAGTGCATTTCCTTTTAAATTTAAAACGAAATATCTCTGTCCTGTAGCACACTGCAGAAGACACTCTTCGGATTGAAATATAGTTTTTGAGACGTGCTACCAGAAATACACATTTGTTGACGATTCTCAAATTTGTAGCACTTTAATTATACAAATGCAAAACACAACTTTTTTAAATGGCCGCAAGTATTTTCAATACCAGATTTTGATATACCTATACTTAGTTATTTCAAATAATTTTGACTTTTTAACCATATGGCTCTACCTATAAAACCAACAAATGTTACCTTGATTCAATTTAGATATAGTTTAGGTAATAATTAAAAAAAAATTAAATTATATGAAATCAGATTTTAAGAAGATTTTCATTTTAGTTTACAATAACAACCTCTTTAAAATGGACGAAAGATTTCAATTATACGATAATATTTACATTTTACTTTATTACTTTAAATATAACAATGCATAGTTATAATATAAAATTTACATACTAAACTGTCTAAACTACTGTAAATATAAACAAAAAACAAATATATTAAATGATAAAAGTTACCAGCTGGTTATAAATAAATCCAATGAGACATTTTTTTTTATAAATTTAATCTCCTGCACATCATGCAACAATTATGTTATTATAATTTACCTAGTAATCTATTAAATTGCGTATGTTTCCTAAATCATAAAATAAAAATTTAAAAATGCATGTCTAATGATGTGTCATTAATTTCTAAAAATATACGAACTTGTATATCTAATACCTATTATATGTTCTCATTTCTCGTTGAATCAAATTTATTAAAACTAAACTGACTTTGCTGAAATTTAAAGTTATGTATGGTTCATGAAACGGTTTTATCTTTATGTTTAGTAACAAAACATAATATTATTTTCAATTATAATATGCGTAGGTACTACGCCGCTATATTATACGTTAACTATATTGTAATTTTATAATTATATGACACATATAAGTTATAACATACACTAACCGGCGCTAAAGTCGAACAGCGTTGCATTATTCATATGGTAATAATTATTAATATGGCACGCCAATGAATTATGATGGCTCATATGAAAAAAAAAATACTAATATCATTATAATATGATGACGATATTAATATTATATATTAATGAGGAAATTTCATGAATTGTATAAAAACAATTCGTTTAAACGAAGATTAAACATTCAACTATATAAGTATATATAGGTACTATATATATAGGTATCCCTATCAGCATAATTTTATTTGAAAATTATAATATACAACTATCCCGAAAGTTGAACAAAAAATAGATTTCGAATTATTGATAGTTTTATCTATTAAATTTGAATGTTTTCGTCATTTCGCAAAACAATAATATTGTATTAACTGCAGCATGCGGATGATTAGGTAAATTATATAGATTTTACTTTGCTGATTCAAAACCTGTAGTGCAGGTCAATATGTGATCGTTTTAATCACTATTTCTCTTATGAAAAATGTTTTTTAAACAACAATTTTTGATATTTAACAGTAAAGGTGTTATTTTTCTTGAGATAAACTTGTTTAAACTTCAACCTATATTGAAAATTCTTAAATTAATTACACCGAATATTGCATCTAAATTCGTATCGACACAGTATCTGYTTGCACAAAATGTTTATATATAGGTAAGCATATAGCTTCTATAGTTGTGAGTATAATGCAGTACAACGCAGGTATAATGCAAGTTTTTTTTTGAAACGAAAGGAAAAACACAATATTTTAAAACAAATATTATAGATTCCTCGCTTCTGCTCAGAATCTAATACAGTGTTTGTAAAATGTTCAACTGTCGCTGTGTATATTATTCACTCTCACTCGACGATTTACATATACATTTGTGCTCGAAAAACAACATATACTATATGACCATATCTTCTAAAGACTAAAATTATTCTTGTAGTGACTTATCCATTTTCCACAAAAATTGTAAACAAATGATGGATGTTGTTAAAAACGAAACATTGATAAATGATGCACGTACTATTTACCGATCGTTATTATATATATATATATATATATATCATTAATTTGTATGCGTGAAACATAAGACTGCAATTTCCGGAATTTTACATGAAAACTTTGCTTTATCACATAGAGAAAACTATACCGAATATTAAAGTCATTCTACAGTGGTGATAGAGACTTTGGGAGCCTGTTATTCAATACCGCTATCATGTAGGTATACCTACACTAAATTCAAGCGATGATTTGTGTAGACATACTCATGTGAAATCGAACTGAAAGAGTAAAATATATATAATAATATGCTATACATATATGTAAAGACATATTATGATTCGTGACTTATTTCATTTAAAATATTTATTATGATGATCTATTAAACTTACCAAAAAATCCAATCAATGATTGCCGATTGGGGATGTAGGCATGTGGTGTTTTTTTTTTATACATATCTAACGTATAAACATAATCAATTATAATTTATAATATATCAATAAGCATAGGATGAAAATAAATAAATAATTTATCAAAATAATTACAGCAATTTGTACTTATTTTTATTTATCTGAAAAAAGAGCCTAATACGCACATGACTGTATACATATTGCGTGCTCGCGGTATCTAATATTTTTCATGAATAGKTATGTGTTCGAAAATTAATTATGTTAAAATTTAAAAGAATCGGATTAAATATTTTATGAATGGTAGGTATAGGTACAATTTACTAATTAAAAAAAAAAATCAAATATTTAACATATCTATAGTACATTAAAGTATTGTTTGGAACCAGGCGTTTAGTGTGGCAGTCAGACAGTCAGTAATAGTCGTATTAAAGTTTGTTCCGTGATGTCACCTATTGATAATTTCTCTAAAGATTCATTGACAAAATATGTATGCATCTATTATAAATATATGTTTGCACAGAATGATACCAATAGTTTTGAGCTCTGCTATTAATGTGTTTATTACAATTCATTATTATACATAAGAGGTTATATCAATTATTATTTTTTTCACCCGATATAAAACTATTTAAATATTTTACGTGCGATGTTTTTTCTTTTTTTATAACGGAAACGACTAAAGCGTAATCACATTCGCAGACATCTAAACGCCAATATATTTCCTGACAGACGTAGCATATATTTTTATTTCTTTATTTCCAATTCTCACGCCGTTTTTAAGTTTTTGCTGAAGTAAATGTTTTCGTGGATAAGCGGTATTCAGCCACCACCTTATACGCATGGATATAATAAAATAACAATAAAAAAAAAAAAACAGAATATTAATGTTCAACGATATTAAGCAATATACGCGAAATTTCGCAAAAAAAATTATGTTCGTCTAACAATTTGGCGCGTTTAAAAAAAACAATATCTACCGGAAATGCACTGATATTATAATATATAATATTAATAATTAATATATACCTATGTTTCAATTATACACAACGAATTTATATGTAAATACGCGGTGAACGAACAAAATACCGGATAAAGTGATGATAAGGGTGCAGATGATGCATAAAGATCAAGACAACCGTCATAATGAAAGATCCATGAGTAAGATCGGAAGGGAGAAAACGGTGAGAAGAAGGGGGAGTGATTTTGATATACACCTCATATAAGTTTATATAGCTATTATAATAGAAAACCTAAAACGAGATAACGACACGACGTGTATATGGTTAAGGGAACCCTCCCTCACCCTTATCCTTACCTGTGGCCACCCGTGTAGGGCCAGTTAGAATGGAATGCATTGTATTTACTATAGGGAAATAAATTGTAAGGATAAAAAATACTGGTTTTTTTCAAATCCTGTGTGACATAATTTGATATTAAACGGGTTGTAGTTCGAGTGTGGTCAGTCTGTTGTTCTTACACTAACCAAGTTCCGTCCTACCTTCCCCCCATAAGACTCATACATATACATTATTCCATTGATATTATATTGATATTTTATAACATATTAACATCATATTTGGTTATTTACATGAAAATATTTGAAAAAAAAATGTTGAACTACTGGGTATAAAATAATAGATATGCATCATCAATTATTATAAGTCAGACTTAAATTATAGTAGTTTTATAAAATGATCATCCACAAACTTGTAGAAATATTCTAGCTTTTTTTATAAGAGACGAATAAAAATAACAAATTTTTGTAAATTAATTAATATGAACTTGTACCTATACTATAACCTTATTAATATTTACCTACATTATGTTTATATATTTTATTGTCACGTACTATATGCATCTAATATATTCACATTAATTTTTGAGCTATAATATGGTCTATAATAGAAGATAAATAAAAAAAACATTATTAATATGAACAATTAAGAATTTTTTAAAAGTATGCAAGCTCCATTAGAAACCTTCTCTTGAATCATTCACAGAAAGCAATTACTATTAACATTTATGCATATATCAATTCATGATTTATTATTAACAACCATAACTGGTGATATTGAACGATATTTTAGCTGTGTGAAGAACGTTAAATACACTTAATCAGTCTTGGGAGATTATCAGGTAATTTTTTTTCTTCAAAAATTAGATTAAATATGATCAACAGAGGCGCACAATGATGTTTAAAGGTAAAACCTAAACGAATGCATGCAATTTGACTCTATTGTGATTTATATATAATAGACTTCTTAGATATACACAGTGATCTTTAAACAATAAATCCCATAACAATGACGTTGTACGTGACCTAAGTACCCGAATTAATTGTGTAAACAAAAAATTTTCACGGATTTCACAAAAAAAAAATTATAAAAACCCATGTTGCATTTGATGAAAAAAATCTCATATCAATTCTTATGATAATAAAAATAAAAACACGTAATTAAAGACATATATAAAAAGAGCTAATCTGCATAATTTTTATAATGTTTTGCGGATCGAGGAAATATAAACACGGAACATATGTAATATACTCAATGAGATATCAAACGTCATTGTTACAAACGTTATACTGAATTATAATAACAATCGAAAATCTCTGAAATAATTATTTTATGAATGAATCCGGTAATACAAACATTTTTTTGTTACAAATAGGTTATCCTCTGCAGTTATAGGTATACCAATAACCGTCTGTTTACAAATAACACGTATATTATATACAGTCTGTACGACTGATAAACATATGTGTAATATAATATAAGGATCGAATAAAATGATGATGTCATCACCACCATGATAAAATATGGTAAAACGACGGTGATACAAATACTGAAATACGCATATCCTATATATAGGTAATAGTTTACTCATAAATTCATATTAAGCTTAATTCATAAGTCATATTATAAGTACTCGAACTATCTATAGTCATYTAGATAATATTGCGTATGTGTATATAGACACCTATCAGTGGCGAATCTTGGATTTCGATTTGTGGTTGATAATTTATTACACAAGGGCAGGCTGTTCTAGATGTTGAGTGTTGACTAGGATCCCTCATTAGTAAGTTTGGTATCCTAATGCAGTTAAGATACATCTAAAGCATATTTGATATTTAGCAACCTTCATGCAAGTTAAAATTTTAATGAATAGTTTATACGTCTTAATATATACGTTATTCACAAAACGCTGAAAGCATATTTTAATTTTCCTGAAATTTCGCTACTGGTATATATATATAAATAATAATAGTCATATACAAGGTTCTATAATACTCCTATAAATTTATTTATATATTCTTATTGTTTTTTGAAAATGTATTGTCCTATGAGTTGTTAATCCGAATTGTACCATCATAAGCTTTGTTTCATAACGATATTTCAATTTTTAAACAAATTATTAGTATCAGAGTAGAACTGGCATATAAATGCAAACAATTTTCTTAACTTTTATTATTAGATTAGTTAACTCAACACTATATAACTTGCTTTTACTTTACTTAACTTTAATATTAAAACTAAAGACTATTACAATTTTCAACACATAATCGGTTATGCTGAACATAAATTTGCCATCTTTTTTGTAAAATTGAGATAATACATAAGAGAGTATAAGTATTACGTTCTCTTATAAAAACGATTTGAATTTGTTTTGTATATTTGTAAATTATTGTATAAATATTATTCACTTGATTGCGTAACTGTATAGTCAAATATTTATGAATTTTTTACATTCTCAGGAAGAAAGAATTCGGCTCCTTGACAATTGCATTTTATAGGTTTGTGTTTTTTAACATCTGCTTGTATTTTGTTGAACTGCACAAATCTTATATATAAGTTGGCATAATATATATATATATATATATATAATAGAAAATCGAACAAATATCACATATTTATCTTATTAATAAAATGACTTCCCTGTTACAGGAACGCATTCCACGAGCTGTATGCCATACTAGAGAGCCAGAGTTTCGACTCTAGGCACCACCTGCAGCTCCAGCAGTTGTGGTTCAAGGCGCACTATCTGGAAGCAGAGAAGATCCGCGGTCGGTCGCTAGGCGCAGTGGACAAGTATCGGTTGCGCAAGAAGTACCCTCTGCCGAAGACCATATGGGACGGCGAGGAGACCGTTTACTGTTTCAAGGAGAAGTCGAGGAACGCGCTGAAGGACTGTTACCTAAAGAACAGGTACCCTACACCGGACGAGAAACGCGAGCTGGCGCGGAGGACGGGTCTGACGCTCACGCAAGTCAGCAACTGGTTCAAAAACCGGCGGCAGCGTGACAGGACGCCCCAGCAGCACAGGTCAGTTGCAATAGTTTTTTTGGTTAATAATTGATTGGTCGTTATAAGTTGCATTGACAGGCAAATGTAAGCTAGGCCCATAATTATATTTTTTATTTTAAAATCTACCTGATAAAATTTAACAAGCACGACACAAATTAATCTTAAAATAATAAATAATGTATATAACGTATAATTTGTACTACACACAATAATATTATCTGTATTATTTAATTCTACGAATTTGAATACTTTTTAATWATAGCATTGAGTATCTATACCATAAAAAATGGTATAAAACCTACTCAATGAAAATGGGTATAAAAATTAAAATAATTTTATTCAGGCCAAATTTACATATTATATGTCAATCTTTTTGATTTGAAAATAAGGGGCTAAGTTTACTAAAGATCTTTTGTACATTTTTTTCTTTGGGCCTAGATTACAATTGCCGCATGGTCAGCGATGCATCCAAATCGTGTGTAAAAAACAAAAACCCAAAAAAACTTTTGCATCATTGCTACATCCTTATTTATTAAAATATCGACGATAATTGTATGCTACGGGCATTGTGGAATATATAAATATAGGTATTATACATTATTAATTATTATCAACATTATATTACATTATATTACATTTTACAAAAACAATCCGATAAACTTTACTTAATTTATAAGTTTATAATATTTCTAAAAATAAAAAATTCAAAATCATAAATTAATTTTTTTTTTAAATTGTTTTCGAAAACAATCACTAAATATAAATATAATTGTAACCTGAGGTACCTATACTATATGAAACGAAAAAWTTTTTTTTCGTTTTTCCACTGTTAGTGTTAGCTGAGTTAGGATTGACAGGTCATAGAACAGCAGGTGTTTTTGAGTTAAATCTTTTAAATACCCAAAATAAATTAAATTATATAATGTATGTTATATAGCCCATTAATGCCATATGGCATGCAATTCTGATGTACTGTAGTTTTATAGTACCTATATGATGGAAACTGACAAGTTTTTAGCCCAACTAGATAGTTGTATCAGTCCTTGATATAACTATAATTTATATATATTATATACTGTCGATTACTCGGTTGTAGGTAGTCTAAATTAATTTATCTTAATAAAGATAATTTCATTAAAAAAAAAAATATTTGTTTTCGTACACGACTCGCAAAAACTGTCAAAAACATTATGTGTAAGTTGAATGCAATCACCAATATGTTGAAATAAACAACATGATAAATAAAATGTGAAAAAGTTTAAATTGAGTAAACATCGAGYAAYGGTTTAGCAATATGATAATAGCTGAATGATTTAGTACGCACTAATAATATTATAGTGAAGATAAATCAATCTAAATTAATAATTTCGCTATTTTGCTATTTTGTTCACTTCCTACTATACTCTATCATAATTTCACACGACTAATACAGCGATGTGATATTAGAGTTTGATATAACTACAATATAAATTTTATTATACGTTTAGTATTTATAGTTTACGCACTTAAAAAACGTTTCCCTTTTACGCGATACATACACAATCGGACGTTAAACAAAGACGAACAATATTTTTTTCACGCACAACATCGCGTAAATACGCGATACGGTATAATAATGAGAATAATAATATATAATCACTATTATTACCGCTGACGCCAATAATTGTTATAACAATTTTTTACAGACAACGCGGAACGTTTCGTAAAAAATTATCGACATATTAAACATTCTAAAGATGGAATACCCATAAAATTAGTGAACAACTACCCACCCCAAAAAAAAAAAAAAATTGTACTCAAATATTAAATTAAAACACCCTCTCTCCTAAAAATCCTGGCTAWGCACCGCTGCCCTTCTATGCGGAAAACATATGTTGATATGATTATTTAGAAGTTTTTTTTTTTTGTTTTGCCTTAACGTTAATCATAGAATAATGGTAAAACGATCGTCCGCGCGACGACGAATTGTCTCGTCAGTACGTCAGTTAGGTGTTTATATTATTATGCACTATCAAAATTATTATGAAAACATAGAAATACACTAGCGTTATGTTATTTGGTGACAACTAACAAGAATAGGTTATCGCTAAGGAAATAAAAATGTAAATAGGTAGTTGAAAATACACGAATAATATTATTTATTTATTTCAAGGCTAAATTATTAATGATTGTTGTTGTTTCTTTTATTTTTACTGTGCCGGCCCTCTCTATATAGTACCTTCGCCTATTCCATCGTATAATACAATGCACATATAGTTAGACACATATATATATATATTTTAATTTTCTCAAACTTATATTCATCAATAAAACTAATAATTTATGGGGTTTTCGCAATCTAATCATTTTTTTCCCGTCGCAAGTTACAAAAAAAAAAAAAAAAAATGCTCAATAGTAATTTTTATATTTCTTAAAAAATGTAATTATATATATATAGATATAAGTATATCATATGGTAAAAAATAACCATTAGGTTAGCTGCAGTATTCAATATAGTTCATATAAAATGTGTTAAATTTACAAAACTAATGAATTCTATGAATAATTATTGGATGATAATTCGATTTTTCTTCAATTATTTAGAATCGGGATGCTTTTTCAATTAATATTTTACAGACGTGTTATTTTAATTTTTAGGAAACATTTATTTTTATTGGTTCAACGTACAGTATAATACCTATAATATTATTATACTTTATACGACTCAAGTGAAAACGTTTTATTTAAATGGTTAACCAAAAATTTAGTTATGCGCTGAGACATTATATGTTTACCCCAAATAACTGCATTTTGAAAAGATTGACAAAAGCGATTAGTCAACTAGTCGATTGCATATAACACATGTGTTGCATAAAAATTGACGTGGGCTAGTCCTAAATGGAAAACCATAAGACCAGACTTTTTTCAACCGAAATTCCTATACGGGAAGGAATCTCATTAATAATTGATACCATGCACACACAAGACCCGATTTTAAAATATACGCGCAGCTATGAAATATGTTTTTGATGGTTTAAATTTAAATAACGACTGTACCTATATAGAGATCTAAATGTCAAAAGCCCGATCGCGTTGACCGATCAATTATCAAGGTAATTCATGTTTATTATCAATACCAATATATAATAAATCTTTATACAGAATATTATAATAAAATGTATTAAAATACAACTACTTTTTCAAAATCTGCAGTTTTGGTTATTAGTAAAATCTAAAGTATTTACGTGGCACGTCTACAATACACATAGACTTATCATATAATATCATGTTATATTTATATATATACAATATACATACACACGGAACACAAACAAAATAGCCGAAAATGAATAGATGTACATACAGGCATCATAATAARATGGTTTAGGTTGATATAAGCACAATGTGAAAGATCCCAATCAAAAGTTTTCATCAAATATTATACAACATCTATATACGTCTTAAGTAGTGCAATTTAAAAATTAACAGCTATATGTTGTAGGTTAGCCTCCCATAAAAATATTTATTCTAGTTACGCCTGTATAATGTATATACAAAGTGATTCACTCTGCATGCTCATACCCGATTTTGTATTTAATGAAAAATTAATTCATATTTTTATTTTAAGTATATAATTTAAGGACCATTTTATATTAAGTTAAATTACTAAGATTTTTTTATACAGTTTAAGCCCTGCAACGATACAAAATTTACTTTCCAAATGAGAACCATCATAACCTTTTTCACTGACAGTATTCGTAAAGCGCTAAAGCAGATGATTTTTTTTTTAATGTAGATTTATCTAAATCAAAATTTTAACGAGTGAAACACGATGCTTGCTTCGTCACAGGACACTCCTTAAATGGTATAAAAATTTAAGTATTTGAATATAAAACTCTGTATTCTGTGTACATGTATGTGTGTATAACCAAAGGGTTTGAACGTGCGCATTTATATTATACAGTTATAATATTATGGCCTACAATAATGTGTAGAATACTGAATAGGTACATTTAGTTATACAATAACTGGTGACGCGTAAAAACATATATATATTTAATATTGTATAATAACTACCTACAAAAACGGCGAAACCTAAAACATACTGTATTAGGTGGGAGAAAAAAATATTAAAATTTCCGTAAACGTCGTCGTCGATGACGGTGGCGGTATAACCGTTTTCGTAAAGAAAATCAAGCCGTCGCGCGTCGTGTTTGCCATTAAACGCATATATTTAGTATATGGGGCGACAGTGGCGGCGGCGGTGTGTCCGACGGTCAAGCCCAGTAGTACAAACATATAATAATATAGTATATGAGTATACCGACCTGCTGAGTTTACGATGTTATTGTGTACATGCGCGCACATGTAAAATATATATTAGACGTATATTTATATATACATAATATATATAAACTATATTGGTGTGTGTGTGTGTCTGTGTGTACAGTGTATACCCCGTGTCCAAAAATTAACGAGAGAGAGAGAGAGAAGGAGTGAGAGAGGTCGTGAGAGGTATATATAATATTATATGGAGAGAGGTCGCGAGAAGTGTATTACAATATTACATATATGCTTATGTGTGTGTGTGTGTGTGTGTGTGTGTGTGTGTGTAGAATGAATGGGAGAGAGACTGAAAAGAACCGCGCGTCCCTTTCGGTGGAACACGTGTTTGCTAATCACACATTCTTGTATTTCGGCGTCCGTGACAAATTACCCTCCGCCGCCGCCCCGCAACAGACGTCGCCTGAGCCGTTTACGCTCACTCCGTCCGTCMGTCTAATCACGTTGTTACCAGATTTGCCAGCTATATGTACAGATCATCTAGTCGATCCCTGCTGGTCCGACCTGCACCCCTACCACCATTTGATCCTATAATGTCACCCCTACACAGTCTCTTCTAAGACCACACTCACTGCTGCTGCCTCCCCTGTTGCTGTACATATATCCGATAAAAATACCAATATTAATACTTAATAGCCCACCTACATAATATTATGATGTGGAGCAAGTTTAACCATCATAATGGTGCACCGCACCGCAGTACCTAGACCAAGAATATACGTATGACAATTGTTTTAACATTAAAATTATAATATACGAATAATATAATATATGTTTGTTCTTCGGGATACATAGTACATACATGCACACTATATAATGTATCTCTGCCCTCTAGAGTCTGGGCTCTGTGTGTAGGTAGTGTAAGTACCCATTATATATTGTACATCATTATACTTATTATACTATAGAAGATTATGTCGCATCATTGTATAGCACAAGACAACGACCGACATTATAGAGGTCACGTTTGTATGCATACAATAACATATTWAAATATTTATTTAAAATACTATTGAATTAGTACTGTAGATTTTGGGTTAGGTTTTTATTTGTTAAAAGAAATTGGGCTGTACCTATATTGTATTTTCTTCGTATACAATATAGTTATTTTGAACAAGCATAAAAGTAGTATCGATGTTCTTTTGAGATTTGTAAGCAAGCTTGTCGTTAATATATAGAGAGATAGATAGATAGATAAAGACAGAGTGACGGAGAACATTTAAAGCAGTCCCCTGCAGTACACATCACAATCTGCGGTTTCATACAAATAATTGAAACTTGAAAGTCTAGTATACTAATCAAATAAAAATAATATAGTAACTAAACTATAATATAATATACATCAGGATTCAGGCAAAATGTATATTACAATAAATAATACGTAATTACGTATACAGTACTATACACTCATTATTTAAAAAATTACTATTTATTTTTCTTGCATAATTTTAATGCCATTTTTCGACGTGAACGCGATTGTCGTTATAGCGATCGAAAGTAATTTTTATTATATTTGTATATCTATATTCTATGTACAGATATTATTGTAATCACACATTCGCCACTCTTAAGACACCACTGCAGCAGGTAAATACATATAGGACATTATATCTACTCAAATTATTTGACAATATTGAATATATTATAATCAATAAATATTAATCAAAATTCGATCGAAATCAAAATTGGTCAGTGAAGCTGTTAAGTATATTCTAATATTCGTGGGATAAAATGTATAAGGTAAAGGTTCAAAGGGGAGCTACATTKAAATTATATATAAGAAAGATGGCAATGTTGATGGAATGAGGTATATCCGGTATAGGATATTAAAAACAACACTTGAAATATCGTTCGCCTAAATGACCGGATACAAATACCGTAATCTAACAAAAACACTACAGAATCTGGGATCTATATACCATCATATTATGGATCGTATAATTTTAAGTAATAGCATTCTGTGTATAGGTACAATCATATTATTATACAATTTATTAATTATTACAACTTCGTTAATTACATTAATTCGATTCATGTATTATTTTGGTCGAACTGACGACATCGTGCAACGTGTTAGTTTTTAGTCATTTTTGATTTCGAAACGACAGTATTTGCCGTCGCACCTTAAGGAAAATCCGAAAATTACATTGAGAAAACACACACACATCTACCCATATTATTATACATACTATTATTATTAAAACGGCGCTAGAGTTTGGGGCAGCTGAAGGAACACTACCGTATAAATTATATAGGTAGGTACATGAATGTACCTACACGTTTATTAGTTGTATTATGACTATTACTATTATTACACTGCACGGGCACAGACGAAGCGGCGGCGTGTGCATTTGTGTACGGCCGGACACGCCCACCGGAACGACGGTCGCGGCGTCGAGGATTAGAGGAACAGAGGTGATTCGACGCGCCGCGTGTATGATAATCATTGAAAAGCTCACCCATTTGCGCGATCCACTCCCCGCGGCGACTGCAGGTGTACTGCACTATTGCACAGTCAGTGTGATGTGTCGTGCACGCGCACCACGTTGACGGATAACTAATAGGTAAATATACCAATTATATTGTCATATTATACTAAGTCCGAGCTCTCCAACCCACCGGTAGATTATACTATATATATATATATACAAATAACCTTTAGGCCATTTAGGGTTATACAAATTATTCATCTGATTACAAATGCTTAAACGTTTCTAGTTTTAGATTCTGAACGAAGTGAAGAATGTATTGATTTTACAATGATGGGTGTTTTTTTTTTTTTTTTCTATAACTCTTTTTTTTTTTTTTGTTTTTGTGTCTGTGTACAGCATAACTAGTCGAAATAATGCTTCGATTTCAAACTTTGGGAGTGGTTTCCTATGTAAAAGTAAGGTTAAAAGTAAACATTTTCCAACATTTTTCAAAAAAATCGAGAAAAACAAAACAAAAAAAAATGACAGAAAAACGGGAATTTTTACGCAAAATCAGTTTTCGAC